CTATCTTCAATCTATCTTTCTATCATCTATCTATTATCTATCTATCTATCTATCTATCTATCTATCTTTTATCTATCTATTTTATCTATTATTATTTTTTTATCTATCTATCTATCTATCTATCTATTATTATTATCTATCTATCTATCTATCTATTTATATTTTATTATTATCTATCTATCTATCTATTATTATATCTATCTATCTATCTATCTATTATCTATTTTTTTTTATCTATCTATATTATCTATCTATCAATTTTTATCTATCTATATTATCTATCATATCTATCTATCTATCTATTATTATATCTATCTATCTTTATTATCTATCTATTATTTATCTATTATTATTAATTTCTATTATTATTATTTTATAGCCCTCTGGAAAAATCCCACCGGAGTAGATTATCCAATGCCAGCCGGGGGATGAATCTGAGAGATGAGGAGAGAGAAACCAGCAAAAATCTCAGAGATTCTCTATATGTAGAGTCAAGCCATCTAGCTATCTACAGCAGTGGTCTCCAAACTGCAGCCCAGGGGCCAGATGCGGCCCTTTGTTTGCTATTATCTGGCTCTTGGACCATTTTTTGCCCACTGTCACCCACAATGGAGCAATGTTCCTGCAATTGACACCTACAATGGGGCATTATTTCTCTCACTGACACAGAGGATGGGGCAATATTCCTCTCACTGACACTGAGGATGGGGCATTATTCTTCTCACTGACACCAACAATGGGGCACTATTCCTCCCCCTAGTACCAAAAAGTGAGCACATGAATGGCCCATGTTCAAGTAGAACTTACGTTCGACTCGAACATGAAGCCCATCAATATAAGGAATAACAGGTGCACACAGGTGACATGACAGCACCGGGGACCCAGAGACTGGTGAAGAACCAGCCCAGGTAAGGACAGCGCTGGATCCCTAGACAGTGTGAGTGTCTCTTTATTAAAGGTCAGCAGCTACAGTTTTTGTGACCTCTAAATTTTGCAGAACTGACTGAAGCTCCTCTTTAAAGAGTTAAGCTGCCTGTGGATGGTGCCAAGTCAGCAGGTGACCATACTTCCTGGACTGACTGGGTCTAAGGAGGAATGTTAATGCACAAAGTGGCATCTGAAACAGAATGTACATGTTAGCATGCATAGACCTAACAAAAAAAATATACTTTTAAGGTTTGTCTTATTATATATATAGCTGTAACTTTGTTTTTTGTTTGTTGTATGTAAAAAAATGTTAAAACTGGGTCAGTCGGGTATAAAAATTCAACAAGGCTGCAGAAGCTGAATGGTGATAGCTGCTATTTGCCCTTTTTTATCTTTTGATGAACAGGAACACAATTTTTTTATACTAGGAATTGTAACAGCTAAATAAAAAATGGAAAACTAAAAAAAGATATAAATATAAAAGAAATCCGCACTCAAGGTCATCATCTGCTTTTCATCTGATTTTTTTGTTGGTAGAAAAAAAAAGATTTAGACTTTTCTGTGACAATAAACAATTGGCACACTGAGAGCTACACAGTGCAGTGAGGACAAATGTTGCTCGTGCGCGGGGAGCTCGGATTTAAGTTTTATCAAAGCCTTTTTGATGTTAAAAATAATTTAAAAAACATTTGCTATGCAAATGCCTCCAGCATATGTACAGACGTCAGGAGTAATCACTGTATTGCGTCTAATACAGTGGGGGCAAAAAAGTATTTAGTCCCCACCAAATGGTGCAAGTTCTGCCACTTACAAAGATGAGAGAGGCCTGTAATTGGCATCATAGGGAGACCTCAACCATGAGAGAGACAAAATGAGGAAACAAATCCAGACAATCACATTGGCTGATCTGGAAAGAATTTATTTGCAAATTATGGTGGAAAATAAGTATTTGGTGAATATGAAAAGTTCATGTCAATACTTTGTTATATATCCTTTGTTGGCAATGACAGAGGTCAGACGTTTCCTGGAAGTCTTCACAAGGTTGGCACACACTGTTGCTGGTATGTTGGCCCATCCTCCATGCAGATCTCCTCTAGAGCAAAGATGTTTTGGGGCTGTCGCTGGGCAACACAGACTTTCAACTCCCTCCAAAGGTTTTCTATGGGGTTGAGATCTGGAGACTGGCTAGGCCACTCCAGGACCTTGAAATGCTTCTTACAAAGCCACTCCTTCCTTGCCCGGGCGGTATGTTTGGGATCATTGTCATGTTGGAAGACCCAGCCACGTTTCATCTTCAATGCCCTTGCTGATGGAAGGAGATTTACACTCAAAATCTCACGATACATGGCCCCATTCATTCTGTCCTGTACATGGATCAGTCATCCTGGTCCCTTTGCGGAGAAACAGCCCCAAAGCATGATGTTGCCACCCCCATGCTTCACAGTAGGTATTGTGTTCTTTGGATGCAACTCAGCATTCTCTCTCCTCCAAACATGACGAGTTGTGTTTCTACCAAACCAGTTCTATTTTGGTTTCATCTGACCATATGACATTCTCCCAATCCTCTTCTGGATCATCCAAATGCTCTCTAGCAAACTTCAGACGGGCCGGACATGTACTGGCTTAAGCAGGGGGACACGTCTAGCACTGCAGGATCTGAGTCCCTGGCGGCGTAGTGTGTTACTGATGGTAGCCTTTGTTATGTTGGTCCCAGCTCTCTGCAGGTCATTCACTAGGTCCCCCCGTGTGGTCCTGGGATTTTTGCTCACCGTTCTTGTGATCATTTTGACCCCACGGGGTGAGATCTTGCGTGGAGCCCCAGATCGAGGGAGATTATCAGTGGTCTTGTATGTCTTCCATTTTCTAATTATTGCTCCCACAGTTGATTTGTTCACACCAAGCTGCTTGCCTATTGCAGATTCAGTCTTCCCAGCCTGGTGCAGGTCTACAATTTTGTTTCTGGTGTCCTTCCACAGCTCTTTGGTCTTCACCATAGTGGAGTTTGGAGTGTGACTGTTGAGGTTGTGGACAGGTGTCTTTTATACTGATAACAAGTCCAAACAGGTGCCATTGATACAGGTAATGAGTGCAGGACAGAGGAGCCTCTTAAAGAAGAAGGTCCAGGTCTGTGAGAGCCAGAAATCTTGCTTGTTTGTAGGTGACCAAATACTTATTTTCCACCATAATTTGCAAATAAATTCTTTCCAGATCAGCCAATGAGATTGTCTGGATTTGTTTTCTCATTTTGTCTCTCATAGTTGAGGTCTCCCTATGATGCCAATTACAGGCCTCTCTCATCTTTGTAAGTGGGAGAACTTGTACAATTGGTGGGGACTAAATACTTTTTTTGCCACACTGTATATGTATTTCCTATGATCATCAGCTCCATCAAGTGGCCATAATGCAGTATTTCTTTTATAAACTTCAATTGGGGGGAAAAAAAAAATCTTCAGCCACTAGATGGAGCTGACGATCATAGGTAATAAACATATTAGACACGTTACGGCAATTTTTCCTGGCTTGGGGCAATCACGCAACAATTTTTATTTTAAATAGGCGTTGCTGACCTCTTACCAATTTGGCAGCCTTGAATGCAGAAAGCGTGTGTACCTGCACGGCTGTCGGATTGGGAGCAGTGCCTGTGCAGTCACTGCGTCCCAATTGTTGTGAATGGGACTGCCGACACCAGGATGCATCCTCGCACAGGCGTATGATTAAGTATGCCCATGTGAACGAGGCCTTCCAGGGCCTCATGGAACCCCCGTCAAAGCCACTCCTGCATATACGCTTCCTACAGCCATGCATTCATACCCTGCTTCTCCTGCCTGTGACTCCTGCCATCTTTTATATAGATTACAGTCGAGATGATGTAGTCCTAGCCTTGGTCATGTGACGTTCTGTGACATGCTCAGTGCGTGTTTCCCGACTGGAAGTTCAGGGAAGTAGTGCTGAATGGTCTACAGCCAGAGTCTGTGAAAACTACTAAGGGTAGTTTCTTCTGCTCGTAATTAGAGGAAATACTTTATATATATATATTTATTTACACTATATTGCCAAACGTATTGGACCTTTCCACACACATGAACTTTAATGGACCCCCAGTCTTAGTCCGTAGGGTTCCATATTGAGTTGGCCTCGCCCTTTCCACACACATGAACTTTAATGGCCCCCCAGTCTTAGTCCGTAGGGTTCCATATTGAGTTGGAACCGACCTTTCCACACACATGAACTTTAATGGCCCCCCAGTCTTAGTCCGTAGGGTTCCATATTGAGTTGGCCTCGCCCTTTCCACACACATGACCTTTAATGGCCCCCCTAGTCTCAGTCCGTAGGGTTCAATATTGAGTTGGCCCCGCCCTTTGCAGCTATAACCACTTCAACTCTTCTGGGAAGGCCGTCCACAAGGTTTAGGAGGGTGTCTATGGGAAGGTTGGACCATTCTTCCAGAAGCACATTTGTCAGGTCAGGCACTGATGTCGGGGGAGGGGGCCTGGCTCGCAGTCTCCGCTCTAATTCATCCCAAAGGCGTTCTATGGGGTTGAGGTCAGGACTCTGTGCAGGACAGTCAAGTTCCTCCACCCCAAACTGGCTCCTCCATGTCTTTATGGACCTTGCTTTGTGCACTGGTGCGCAGTCATGGTGGAACAGGAAGGGGCCATCCCCAAACTCCTCCCACAAAGTTGGGACCATGAAATTGAACAAAATGTCGCCTTAAGAGTTCCCTTCACTGGAACTAGGGGGCCAAGCCCAACCCCTGAAAAACAACCCCACAACATAATCCCCCTCCATCAAACTTTACACTTGGCACAATGCAGTCAGGCAAGTACCGTTCTCCTGGCAACTGCCAAACCCAGACACGTCCATCGGATTGCCAGACAGAGAAGCGTGATTGGTCACTCCAGAGAACATGTCTCCTCTGCTCTAGAGTCCAGTGGCAGAAACCCATTCCATGAAGCTCTCTACGCACTGTTGTTGGGCTCATCTGAAGGCCACACCAAGTTTGGAGGTCTTTAGCTATTGACTCTGCAGACAGTTGGCGACTTCTGCGCACTGTGCGCTTCAGTATGCGCTGACCCCGCCCTGTTATGTTGCTTCCACTTTGTTATAAGCCCACTAACAGTTGACCGTGGAATATTTAGTAGCAGCATATTGCCATAAGTATTGTCCCCGCCCTCCATATCATGTGATTCAGGTGTTCCAATCCCCTCCATATCATGTGATTCAGGTGTTCCAATCCCCTCCATATCATGTGATTCAGGTGTTCCAATCTCCTCCATATCATGTGATTCAGGTGTTCCACTCCCCTCCATATCATGTGATTCAGGTGTTCCAATCCCCTCCATGGACACAGGTGTATACAATCAGCCCCTAGGCATGCAGACTGCTTCTACAAACATTGGTGAAAGAATGGGTCGCTCTCAGGAGCTCAGTGACTCCAAGCGTGGTCCCGTGATAGGTGGCCACCTGTGCAATAAGTCCATCCGTGACATTTCCTGGCTACAAAATATTCCACGCTCAACTGTTAGTGGGATTATAACAAAGTGGAAGCAACTGGGAACAACAGCCACTCAGCCACCAAGTGTCCTCACTCACACATCACAGTCCCACTATAAGTGGCTGATCACCGCCATTACCAGTATAGCACCTATAGCTGCATAAATTCCAGTATATATCCCATAGTTTGCAGACGATATAACTTTCACACAAACCAACTTATATACACTTATTGGGATTTTGTTTTAACAAAAATATGTAGAATACATTTTGGCCTAAATTTATGAAGAAATGTTATTTTATTGGATATGTTTTATAACAGAAAGTAGAAAGTATTGGGTTTGTTTCCACATTTTTGTTTTTTTTTTCATTTATACAATAAAAGATAAAAAACCCCAGTGGTGATCAAATGCCACCAAAAGAGAGCTCTATCTGTGTGAAAAAAAATGAAATTAATTTTATTTGGGTTGCATGACCACGCAAGTACCAGTTAAAGTAGCCCAGTGCTGAATAGCAAAACAAATGCTCTGGTCATGAAGGGGGTAAAACTTTCCAAGTGGTTAATTTCCAGACTAAACATAAGTTGAATTTGTAAATGATGACTGGTGATATTTTACCTGGCCGGCGTTCCCCTTTAAACATGGCGGCAATGAAGAAACTCTACATTTCAGCGTGGATTTTTCTCAGTCGGTCTAGTAAATATTTGGCAGATTCTCTGACATATTCAGATATATGTTGGTCGATATTATATACAGGCTTTACCACCTAAACTGACGAAACGGGGCGAACGTAAAATTAAACGGCGCAGATAAATAGAATTTAAGGGACGCACACAGAAGTTGTAAAAAATTATTTTGTTTACGCATTTTGGCTACAAATTTTTTTTATGTCGGCACATTGAGATTAGATTGCACGTGTAATGGCGGTATTATACCTGGTATAAAACGCTCACAATGTAACACGGCGAGCGCAGATCTGTTTATGAACGAACGCCGTTATGCTTTGGAAGCCGTAAACTTCAACACGTGCCGAGTAAATGGCTAAATGAGCTTTTTTCGTTTTATTTCAAAACTTCTGTTCTTTGTAATCCGGCGTTAAAAAAATAATACAAGTGATGAGAGTAATGGAGGGTTTTTATGCCGCGGTTTAATACCTCCGGAAATTATGTTTTCTTTGTAACGATACGGTGAGCGCTGTTCGCCGAACGCCATTATCATTTGTTTTTATGGCAGAAACATATGCAGTGACACAGCGGAACACAATGATAGCTGGCCGGGAGCATTCTACATATATATATACAAATTCTTCACACCAGTCCCAGGCAAGGTGACCACAAAGAACTAATGACACCCCTCTGGGTGGGATCAGCGGGAACCAAGAATGTATTGTATATAATAACTGAGCAATTCTACGATTATCTGCAGAATCGAATGGGAACTCTCTGTATTGTACCAACATATGATCACCATAGTATAGGTTATAACAGGCCCACGTCATAGGAGGAAGGAAGAAAGAATTGTAAGCTTGACAGAATCAGGAAGGAAAGGAGAGAGGTAAGTCAGGAAGGAAAGAATTGGAAAGGAAAGGAAAAAGGAAAGGAGAAAGGAGAAAGGAAAGGAAAAAAGAAAGGAAAGGTAAAAAAAGAAAAGGAAAAAGGAAAGAGGAAGGAGAGGAGAGGAAAGGAGAGGATAGGACAGGAAAGGAAAGCAAAGGACAGGAAAGGAAAGGAGAGGAAAGGCAAGGAGAGGAGAGGAGAGGAAAGGAAAGGAAAGAGGAAATAAAATAAAAAGAATTAAAGTAAAAGAAAAGAAAGGAAAGGAAAATAATAGAAAAAGGAAAGGAAAGGAGAAAGGAGAAAGGAAAGGAAAAAAGAAAGGAAAGGTAAGGAAAAAGGAAAGAGGAAAGGAGAGGAGAGGCGAGGAGAGAGGAAAGGAGAGGAGAAGATAGGACAGGAAAGGAAAGGAAAGGAAAAGGACAGGAAAGGAAAGGCAAGGAGAGGAGAGGAAAGGAAAGAGGAAATAAAATAAAAAGAATTAAAAGTAAAAGAAAAGAAAAGAAAGGAAAGGAAAGGAAAGGAAAAATAATAGAAAAAGGAAAGGAGAAAGGAGAAAGGAAAGGAAAAAAGAAAGGAAAGGTAAGGAAAAAGGAAAGAGGAAAGGAGAGGAGAGGAGAGGCAAGGAGAGGAAAGGAGAGGAGAGGATAGGACAGGAAAGGAAAGGAAAGGACAGGAAAGGAAAGGAGAGGAGAGGAGAGGAAAGGAAAGAGGAAATAAAATAAAAAAATAAAAAGAATTAAAAGTAAAAGAAAGGAAAGGAAAGGAAAATAATAGAAAAAGGAAAGGAAAGGAAAATAAAGGGGAATGGGAAACGAAGGGAAAGTTAAAGGAAAGGAAAGGACAAAGGAAAGGAGAGGAAAGGAGAGGAGAAGAGAGGAGAGGAAAAAAATGAAATTAATTTATTTGTGTTGCATGACCACACAAGTACCAGTTAAAGTAGCCCAGTGCTGAATAGCAAAAAAAAATGCTTTGGTCATGAAGGGGGTAAAAACTTTCCCAAGTGGTTAATTTCCAGACTAAACATAAGTTGAATTTGTAAATGATGAGGAAAGGAAAAATAATTAAAAGTAAAAGAAAAGAAAGGAAAAGCAAAGAAAAAGAAAAGAAAGAAAAGGAAAGGAAAATAATAGAAAAAGGAAAGGAAAGTAAATGAAAGGAAAGGAAAGGAAAAAGGAAATAAAATAAAAAGAATTAAAAGAAAAGAAAGAAAAGGAAAGGAAAATAATAGAAAAAGGAAAGGAAAGGAAAGGGAAAGGGAAAGGCAACACAGGTACGTGAACTTTATGATCGGATCATATCTGGGGGAGGGATCTTAATGCAGAAAACAAATGCTGATGCCTGAACAAAGATGACTCTGTCTTTCTGGGGAGAAATCACATGAAGGCATTGTTAGGGGGAAATGTGACCTCAGTGAGCGGTAATTAATATCTGGAAGCGTTACACTTTTAGGCACTTAATGTAAAATGTATCTGATGTTAGGTCCACTTTAGAAAATTAACAAAATGTCCACCTTGTCATGGGGCCGGTGACTGGTGCAGAGTAAAAGGAATGATTGAATTCCATCGAGGGCCTATACATGATTCGCCCAGACACGCTGAGCTATCCATCAAATCCAAGACCCAAAAGGAAACATTTTCCAGCGTGTTATACAAAATGTTAGCTTTTAATAATTGGCCGAGGAGCCAAACGGAATGATAAATTTGTTCAGGAATCTCTTAAGTCAGTGATGCTAAATGCCATCTCCTGACCTCAATCTCGGTAGTAATTACATTCTGCCATAATTATTCGAAATAATCTATTCTGCAACATCGCTATCCCTTGGCGTATTTTGTGCTAATAGTCAAATACCAGTCAAAGCCCCCAATGTAACGGATCTTAATCATATTGTTTAAAGAAGAAATCTGGAAATCTGTAATGAGTGCAATTGATTTGTATGGAACACGATACTTAAATGGGCTCCACTGGGGACACCTGGGTTTAGTTTGGAGCATCTTAGATTTGTTTGTATTTTGACAAATACTTCCTATGGGAAATTTTAGCTAGTAATTGCCACAATTGCCAAAGAGTCTTGACTAGAGATGGATTATATACAAGGCAACTTAGCCAGAAGTCTAGGCCCTGGTTGATGTCAAGGGGGCCCAGCTACAACCTGAAGAGCCTTCACCAGATATGGATTATTTACAAGGCAACCTAGGCATACGTCTGGGGCCAAGTGGATGTCATGGGGGCCCATGTCTTGAGTCTTGAGCAGAGATAGATTATACACAAGGCAACTTCAGCAGAAGCCTAGGGCCCTGTAGGTGTCAGGGGGATGAGCTACAACCTGAAGAGAATGACCAGAGATGGATTATATAAAAGGAAACCTATGTAGAAGTCTAGGGTTCGGTATCCTCAAGTCAACCTCAGTAGAAGCCTAGGGCTTAGAATGTCACAGGGGGGCCCAGCTACAACCTGAAGAGTCTTAAACAGGTGTAAATTATACACAAGGCAACTTAGGCAGAAGTCTAGGGCCTGGTGGAGGTCAGGGAGCCCAGCTACAACCTGAAGAGCCTTGACCAAAGATGGATTATACATGAGGCAACCTACACAGGAGCCTATGGCACAGTGGATGTCAGGAGGGCCCAGCTACAACCTGAAGAATCTTGACCAGATATGGATTATATACAAGGCAACCTAGGCATAAGTCTGGGGCCAAGTGGTTGTTATGGGGGCTCAGGTACAACCTGAAGAGTCTTGATCAGAGATAGATTATACACAAGGCAGCTTCAGTAGAAACCTACAGCCCTGTAGGTCTCAGGGGATGAGCTACAACCTGAATGATCAGAGATGGATTATATACAAGGCAACCTATGTAAAAGTCTAGGGCTCAGAAGGTCTCAGGGGGGCCCAGCTACAACCTCAAGAGTCTTAACCAGGTATAGATTATACAAAAGGCAACTTAGGCAGAAGCCTAGGGCCTGTTTGAGGTCAGGGGGCCCCGCTAAAACCTGAAGAGTCTCGACCAGAGATGGATTAAACATAAGACAACCTAGACAGAAGCCTGGTACACACTTTGGATGTCGGGGGGGGCCAGCTACAACCAGAAGAATGTTGACTGGAGATGGGGTTATATACAAGGCAACCGAGGCAGAAACGTAGAGCTGGTAGATGTCAGGGGGTCCATGATTGGCAGTAATCCACAAGGCAATAGGTCCATTACTGGCAGTTAGGAGTCCATAAGTCCTCAGGTTTCCCAGCCCCTCAGGGAACCCCAACTGGGCCCCCCCTCCCCAGATGGGGGCACAGACCGACAGAGTAACAGACTACATCTGGGCAGTCCCCCCCTTTT